CCAACTACAAGTTAATTTTCACATCAACTCACATCACACTGAAATTCGAATAAGTGCTGTGCCGGTGTAACAGCTGCAGACTGGAGCAAAGTTTAGGCAGGTGCGCAGTAAGACTCTTACTGTGGTGGTTACAGTGACTCACTGCTGGGCCCTGTGGGACGCCCAGACTGTTTCATCTCTTGTCTGGCACCTCCAAAACCAGCAGACAGACACAGAAACTGGACTGCACCGTCCCCTCTTTATTCTGAACTTATCAATGTGAACTATACAGGACTCTGGCCCACTTCTACTTCAAGGGAATCCAGTAATTCAGGTCACGTTAGGTTTAACATTTAGTTAGGTCAGCATTACAGCGATTTATGATGCTGCGGACAGACTGGTTGTGAAGGAGCAACCTGTCATGCAGGAAACAGTGCTACAGTATAATTTGGGCCCTTTGCATCAGCTCAGTGGTCTAGTATCAGTGAGAGTAAAAACAGTTGCTTTTTTAAAAGACAGATCAGAAAACAGCAACAAAAAGGGATGTTTTTAATTTAATAACAAGCTAAAAAGTAAAGTTTCAGTATAAAAGTCAGGTTATAGGAGACTTTGTCACACTTACCAGACCCTAAAAGATCAACAAACAATGACGAAAGGGAAGTGGCTCATTTCCACGGAGTTAAATCCTTAAAAAGCAGATTGGAAAACAGAAGTTGACACTGAGAAATAAAAAAAAGTTCCCACAGCAGCTGCATCCGAGGCCGACGTTCCGTATTTTGCTGCAGGTACGGCAGAGCATCCAACTCCAGCCCGAGCGCCTCTGTCCTCAGCGTCTGAGTGTCCTCCAGCGCTGTATCTTTTTTTTTCCTCCACAAGAGCGAGGCAAGTTGGACAATGAGTGGCAGAACAGATGGAGCAACAATGTCTACCGTTCCCTCGTTTAGAGTGGCTGCTTTTCCACCAATCAGAGCGCAGGGGGGGCCTTACAATGAGGCGCAGAGACAAGGGGGAGGAGGAGGGGAGTGGCTGTGGGCAAATGCCTGCAACACCCAGTTTCCCCAAGGCACGCGTACTCAACGTGCACCAGCACACACACACACGAACACACAC